GTGTGTGTGTGTGTGTGTGTGTGTGTGTGTGTGTGTGTGTGTGTGTGTGTGTTCAGCTCTAAAGTGGAGATGGGGAAGTGGATCGAGGATCTGAACATGGCCATCGACTTGGCCAAGAAGTCTCAGGAGAAACCCAGTGTTTTCCTGGACTCCGGCCTCACTGATCACTCCAACCGTAAGAACCGTCCACTCATCTTTATTTTCTGTTCCTTTGAGCTGACGTCCGTTTCCTCTGTGGCCATTTTATTTTCCTCAGTGAATAGATAATTCCTTGAGTTACGAGCAGAGTTGACTGTACATTTAATCCCTGTGCTCCGCATAACTTCCTGCCCTTCCTCACCCCCCTCCTCCTCCTCCTCCTCCTCCCCCAGGATCGTCCGATGAGGTTTCTCTAGAGCAGGAGTCGGAGGATGACATGAGCTCCTCTCGCACGTCTCTGGACAAGCAGACGCACCACCGTGCCAACACAACCATGCATGTGTGCTGGCACCGCAACACCAGTGTGTCTATGTCTGACCACAGCCTGGCTGTGGAGGTACTCCTCCTCCTCCTCCTCCCTCAGTCACCTACACACTCACACCTCCACAAATACACACATCATAAGAACACACGGCAGGAGTATTTCACCCTCTCTTCACCGCGGCATCCATGGAGAGGAGATAAAACGAGTCTGGAACTCAGCATTTCACCTTTTCGTTAGAGCCCTCTAGTCGTTCTTTACTGCTCCTCTTCCTCCACTCTGTCTTCCTGGTTTCTCCTCTGTCTGACTGAAGTGTGTTTTGTTTCTTTACTTTTATTATTTCCGTAAATGTGCTTGCGAGAACCCCTCCACTAACAGTGATGTTTCACCCCACAGGCCTGGAGGATTGCTGTAACTCATCATCCTTTCTCCTTTTTTCCCTCCTCAAAGCTAACACGCTAACAGTTTCTCTGCGCACTTTTCTTCCTTTGCTCTCTCTGTTTCTCTCACGCTCCCAGTCTTAGGCTCCCCGGCCGTCTCGCCCGAGCTTCCTCCCCGTTACCTCCTCGGTCAGGGACAGAGACCAAACACCATCACACATGTTTGCTGGTACCGAAACCAGAATCTTTCTCTCACTGATTACCTGCGCATGAACCAGGTACTGGAGGGGTGGGGTGGGGGTGGGGGTGGGGTTACAGCTTAGTTAAATATCAGCTGGAAACGGCTGACAGCTCTGCTGCACGAGATGTAAATAAAAACCAAACGTAATTAATTAAAAATAATTTCAACTTCCTGAAACAAATCAGTGATTTCAGCCTGTGTCAGAACCACTGAATTGGAGACAGAAGTGTGTAATAAGAGCTAAAAGCAGCAAACAGCTCCATTGCTTCAGCTAATTAAAGTCCAGGCAGGAATGCATCACCCGTTTATCACCTGTCAGAAGTTTTAAATTAAGTCAATTAAAACGATCTTGTGATGAGAAATTATGTTGCTATAGATGTTTTGGACAAACATCGTTCAGCACAGTCAGGTGATATTGTGACATCTCGGGTACAGTGCCTTGTGAAAGTATTCGGCCCCCTTGAACTTTTCAACATATTGCCAGATTTCAGACTTCAAACATAAAGTTTTTTTTTGTGAGGAATCAACAAGTGGGACATAAATGTGAAGTGGAATGAAATTTATTGGATATTTTAAACTTGTTTAACAAATAAAAAACTGAAAAGTGGGGCGTGCAATATTATTCGACCCCTTTACTTTCAGTGCAGCAAACTGACTCCAGAAGTTCAGTGAGGATCTCTGAATGATCCAGTGTTGTCCTAAATGACTGATGATGATAAATAAAATCCACCTGTGTGGAATCAAGTCTCTGTAAAAATACACCTGCTCTGTGATGGTCTCAGGGTTCTGTTTAAAGCAGAGAGCATCATGAAGACCAAGGAACACACCAGGCAGGTCCCAGATACTGTTGTGGAGAAGTTTAAAGCTGGATTTGGATACAAAAAGATTTCTCAAGCTTTAAACATCTAAAGGAGCTCTGTGCAAGTGATCATATTGAAATGGAAGGAGTATCAGACCACTAGGGATGGGTACCTTTGACGTTTGAATCGATTCAGTACCAATATCTGGTACCTGGGAATCGATACCGGAACTTAACGGTACCAATTTTCAGTACTTTATGTGTTGTTTTTTCAATAATAAACTTTTATTTTTAAAATTATTTCTCAATATATAAACTTAACAAATATCAAGACAACATCCAACTCTTTGTATTGTAACATCAGTTGTGTAACTTATTTCTTTAAAGTGAAAACTCTTGAAAACAACAAGACTGTTTTGTCTTATTGCACAAATTAAAATCCAGCTCCACATATTTCTATTGATGTCATTTCCCCACTAGAAAAATTGTGTGATGGAGGACCATGGAAGGCAAATAAGTTTAAATAAAATACACAAAAGAGGATGGAGTTAAAATAAATAAAAGGTATTCAAGCTACATTTTGAGCATCCAAAGCGCGTGCAGCGCTTCAAGTTAGCTGCTTGTGCTCTTTGAGGTCAGACGTGTTTGGACTGTCAGGAAGCCCCTCTGTTTTCCTTTGTTGGTCTCTGTTTAATGGTGGATGAAATAAAGAAAGTGGCGGTACTTTATTTACTTTGAGCAAGCGAACGTCGTGTTCACCAGATAAATCTGAGGCGGTCTGCTCGGTAAATTTTACTCCAGGAGCTGCGAGGCTTTCAAGCTACGTTCAGACCGAGCTCTGCTGCCTCTGAACCAGCGTCTGCTGATGTCATTACGCTTTTGTGTGATACTGTGTTCAGGAGAAGCATGGAAAACTCACCACTCTTAAGCCAAATTGGTCGCAATGATGCGTTTAGGTACCGAAACATAGTACCGTTTGATGTTATGTGGATAGATACTCGGTAGTACCGACAGAATTTGGTCTTTACATCAAAAAGTATCGAATTCGGTACCCATCCCTACAGACCACTGTAATCTACCTAGACCTCCATCTAAACTTTCATCTGGAACAAGGAGAAGACTGATCAGAGATGCAGCCAAGAGGCCCCTGATCACTCTGGATGAACTGCAGAGATCTACAGCTGAGGTGGAGAGTCTGTCCATAGGACAACAATCAGTCGTACACTGCACAAATCTGGCCTTTATGGAAGAGTGGCAAGAAGAAAGACATTTCTCAAAGAAATCCATAAAAAGTCTTGTTTAAAGTTTGCCACAAGCCACCTGGGAGACACAGCAAACATGTGGAAAAAGCTGCTCTGATCAGATGAAACCAAAATCAAACTTTTTGTCCACAATGCAAAACAATATGTTTGGTGTAAAAACAACACAGCTCATCACCCTGAACACACCATCCCCACTGCCAAACATGGTGGTGGCAGCATCATGGTTTGGGCCTGCTTTTCTTCAGCAGGAACAGGGAAGATGGATGGAGCCAAATCCAGGACCATTCTGGAAGAAAACCTGTTGGAGTCTGCAAAAGACCTGAGACTGGGAAGAAGATTTACTGTATCTTCCAACAAGACAATGATCCAAAACATAAAGCAGAATCTACAATGGAATGGTCCAAAAATAAATGTATCCAGGTGTTAGAATGGCCAAGTCAAAGTCCAGACCTGAATCCAATCCAGAATCTGTGGAAAGAGCTGAAAACTGCTCTTCACAARCGCTCTCCATCCAACCTCACTGAGCTCCAGCTGTTTTACAAGGAAGAATGGGCAAGAATTTCAGTCTCTCTATGTGCAAAACTGACAGAGACATAGCCCAAGAGACCTGCAGCTGTAATCACAGCAAAAGGTGGAGCTACAAAGTATTAATGCAACGGGACCGAATGATATCGCACGCTCAAATTTTCAGTCTTTTATTTGTTAAAATTTTTTTAAAATATTCAATAAATTTCATTCCGCTATACGACTGTGTCCCACTTGTTGTTGATTCTTCACTAAAAAATTACAATTTTATATCTTTATGTTTGAAGCCTGAAATGTGACAAAAGGTTGAGAAGTTCAAGGCACTGTATGTGTGTAGAATGATTCTCCGCTCCTAAAACAGCTAATATTATTTTAATATCTATAAAGTAAGTTGAGGCCACGTTTGTGTTTAAGGTTGCTTGGCTGTGACGAGCTGCTCGAATCCAATCGACCCTAAAATGAATCTTTTGTAGGCAGGGCTGGGTGATAAAACAAAACAATACACTGGATATCAAATAGACACGTGACCAAAATGAACAGATAACACATCTGATAGAATGTTGTTCATTTCACTGAACTCTGATCCAGAACCGCACAGCTTTCTGGGAGATGTAGGCAGAGGACAGGCTTTAGATGCTGTAGCTGCTGAGGCAACAGCTCGAGAGGAATTTGTGGATAAAAGAGGAAAGGTCACCAGTTTGACAGAATTAATCAGCCTTTTTTTTCCTCCTGCTCCTTATTTCAAATAGATTAAACAAAAACTAATCAATAATTATCCATATTGAGATGAAACATGGTGATATGTTTTTCTGATGTTTCACCCAGCCCTAATTGTAGATTTATATCCAGTGATTACTTTGTGACATTTTAAAATCAAAATCTGTTCAGTGGTTCATGAGATATTTTGCTAACAAACACTGACATAAACTGTGATAAATATCTGTTGGAACATCTAGGAAAAGGTTAGTTATTTAGAGCTAAAATAATCATTTATTCCAGGTTTTTGACAGATTTTTTTTTTTTTTCAGCTTTAGAGCCTTCTAGGAAACATAGATTTGTCCACCTCCAGGCCACCATACGGCCATGTTGTATTCTCTGTTGATTTTATGCAACACGGTTCAGTGTTTCCTTCTCTAAGTTATGAGTTGTGTTGTAAACAGTCAGTGTATGTTGTTGTTCTTTAAAGAGCCGATCAGTGTTTCTTACGTGCTGGTCAGTGTTCAGCACATTTTGATCTTTAAAACAAAAAGGTGGTAAAATATCTGCTTCAGACGAGGAAAAACTCACTTCTGTGTTCCACTGCATGAATGAAACAACATTCTTGTTGTGTTGATTTTAAATTCTCAGTAGTTGAAACCAACAAAGCAAGAATGAAAGAACTTTCCGTGTTTTTCCTCTTTAAAGAAAGTTTTGTCCCCGTACTCAGGTGGAAAAAACTTTCACTTTAAAGTCTTCTGCGGTGTCCTCTCAGCTTTCTAATTCTTCTAAACTGTTTAAGATAATTTCTTCTGTCACTAAGACTTGTTAATGACACGTTTTCTTTTTTGTGTGCAGATTTTATGTCACATTTCAAATTAAAACACTGGAAACAATCTTTATAATAACTACTAATACATTTGAAATGCCCTGAAATCCGCAAAAATTGATTTTATCCTCAATTCGATAAACTCACAAAGATTTTAATGGAATAAAAACAAAATTAAAAAAATGTTAAAGTGAAATCTTTTTTAGAATCAGTTTAATAAGAAAAGCTTCTGAGTCAGCTTTTTTGTAAACTTTTTTTATTTTATTCGTTAGAATAAGAACAAAAATCTATATACAATTAAAACTTAAACACAATTTGTAAATTAAATTGAATTAAGCAGAGGGAGGAAAAATAATCTCACATCTGTTCCTTTTTTTCTAAGATAAAATCAAGTAGTAATAAAAGCATTAATAGACTCAAAAACTGAAATTATAGTTTGTTTTAGTTTTCTGGTAGTTTGTGTGTAAAACTGCATGAAGCAAATCAACCTGTAAATGTGTCTCATTTAAAGTCACAGCATGCATCAACACCTCCCACTAACAGAAAGCAGAGTTACGATGAATAAATCTTTAAATTAAATTGAATTTAAACTTGCTAACATTGGTTTTTTTTTCCCTCCTGGTCTGGATCAGAACCAGCTGTCCGGTTACCTCCTGAGGAAGTTCAAGAACAGCAACGGCTGGCAGAAACTCTGGGTCGTTTTTACCAACTTCTGCTTGTTCTTCTACAAAACCCACCAGGTTGGCCCACGTCTTCGGTTTTAGTTTTAAAGGGAAATTGCAACCATTTTGCAGTCTGATTGGTACCTGTTGTATATATCTGTTTATACAACCTCAGTTCAGAGACACACAGGTATGACAGGCTGACAGGACTGATGAGTCTGAACACTGCCCTCATAACAGCTCAAAATCTCAACATTTTCTTACCGCGACTTTATTCAGCTTCAAACTGCTCTTAGCTTTGCATTACACAATTATTCACAATGAATTTTATGGTTATTGTTGCTAGCTGTAGCACGTCTGAATTAACCATGCAGTGTTAAGTTGTTGGCAGTGTAAAGGTTTTAAATACAAAAACTAGCTTTAAAAATAAAGAAGTTATTTGGTTTAATATTTCTTTATAATAAATCTTCTGGCCTGTTTGTTTCCCCATAAATAGTGCCACAGTTGTTGGGTAAATACATTCAGGGTTGAGCAGCAGACATCAGTTTGTGGGTTGTATCTGTGAACAACTTACTAAATCTATTCTGCCCACTCCAGCTCTTTCTGCTGCTGGTTCTTGTTTGGTGTTTATTAGACTGGATAAATGAAGTTTGAAGAAACAGGACATATATGCAGATTAACAATTTATTAGTTTAACAAAAAGGAGCCTCAGAGCCTCAGTAGCGTGTGGAAGAACCATACACAGCCACAACAGCCTGGCTCCATCTCCTCATGCTGCTCACACACTGCTGTGTGATGACGTCCCATCCTGCAAACAGCATTTCGTAGAGTCAGCCAACCAGGCTGTGATGGTTACACTGGAACAAACCTCTGGTTGAGGTTAGGGTTGGGTATTGAAAGGGTTTAAATCGATACCGGTGCCAAATCGATACTTTCAAAACGGTACCAGTTCCTAAACTGTATTTAAATTGGTACTTTAAAAAATAAATAAATAAAACACACTTTCACACAGAGTTTTATGAAGCAATAACTATTTCTGAGTCACAGTCAAACTTGAAACTGACCAACATATCAACTTAAAACCATTAATAATTTGTCTTCGCACCAAATGTTCTTAAAGCATTTGTTGTAGGTGGAAGTTTCTGCATCCTATATCCTAAAGTGACACCACACTTTGGACCGTTTTTGCTTTCGACATCTCGACTATAATATATAATAATATTATATATTTTATATTCTATATTTTATATTATATTTTATATTATTTATTTAAATATATTATATATAGTTATGTTATAAAACTGTTAACTGCAGCAGCACCTGTTCGGCCCCTCTCCATCAGTTCTACTCAATTCAAATTCAAAATTCAAAAATTCTCGATTCACTTTGGGTCGGGTCGGTTCTGCTCAGTGTTTGTGTGTCTCCACTCAGTGGGTGTGATAATGTGCAGACCGTCCGCAGCAGCTTCAGCTGTTGTGTTAAAAATAATAATAAAATAAAATAAAAAAGCCATTGTTGTCTTACTGTTCGGACTTCACTTTTATTTATTTATTTATTATCACGGTGCTGTTTAGCAAAGTGCTTGTGTAACCGTGGGCGGCCAGTATGCTGAAAACCACCCGTGATCTGCTCAGCTTCGTCTCCTTCACCTCTCTCCAGGAAGTGTTTACAAGTTCTGCCTTTTTCAAAAAGGCAGTTTTATTTCACCATGTCGTCATATCGCGCCGCGCGCTCATATTAAACAAAAGCAGCTCTCTCCAGGAGGACATTTGCTGCCAGTCAATCCGAGAGTTAATCCACGGGCAGAATTCTGCTTATGTCAAAATCATAAGCATGCTGTACTCGCTTCTACCTGCTTAGAACCACCGGAGAGGAGGTTTTGAGACAGCGCGGCTGTGGAGCGCGCTTGGAGAGGTGCTTTGGGCCGAGACCGAGCCGAGTCGAACCGCGTACAAGAGAGTCCGTGGAGATTGTGTGCCGCGGCCGTCACTGTTAACAGTGAACACCAGAGGGCGCAAATTAATAGCTTTCTTTGAGGCACCGAAATAAAGCACCGAAGTTAGAGATGTGTTTCGGTCTGTGTACTACCGTGGATGTTCGCCCCGTTGCCATACTGGAACCGAGTTTCGGTACCCAACCCTATTTGAGGTCAGGACTGCAGGCAGTTCCCTTCCATCCTCTCAACCCCTGGATCCTGAAACTAGTCTCTGATAGACCCTGTTCTGTGGGAGTGAGAGTGGTTATCTTGGAGGTTAGAGTTTGGTCCCAGACTTTAGAGATTGCCACTGGTTGCAGAATCTCATCTTGTGGGTCGGCCACTTCCTGACCTGTCCCTGATATTCCTCATTATGTGCAACTTCAATTTGGAGATGGTTGCTGCATTACTCCAAACTTATTTTGTGGAACACTAGCTGGAAGCTTTCCTGAACACAGTTCCTATATAGATCAGTCAAATGCTTGTAGCTGATCAGGCTCCATGCTCACAGGTGCTAACCATCTAGGGTTGGGCAGTATTAGCAAAAAAAATTAATCACGATTAATTGTGGTATGTAGTCGGTAACAATTAATTTGACAATTAATCCCCTGGAGTCCCTGGACACCATTATGTCCTAGGCTACATTCACACTGCAGGCAAATGCAACCCAAATCAGATTTTTTTCAAATCCGACCCAGGCCATTTCAGTATGTGCTTCTAAATCAGATACATATCTGATGTTTTCAAAGTGACTGCAGTCTGAACACTCGTGTCACATTACATCCGAGTTTTTCATCAGTGAGGTGGGGGTGAAGGATCGATAAGACACTAACCTGAAGTCACGCTGTTTAAATCTGTAGCTCCATGTGTTTACAGCTCCAAAACACAAGTCCAGTTGCTTCATCTTTTTACTTTTCATTTTCCATGTAGATAGTATGATAACGACGTCCAGCCTCGGTCGCGGAGAGTATTGATCCTGAAGTTACTCAGTTGATACTTGATTTCCAGCTTGTTATTTCGTTCAACAATAAAAAGCTTCACCGGAGCATCCGGTCAGAGGCAGGTTCAGATATAAACACTGAACTAAACAAGCACATCAGATAATTATTTCATCGGCTCTGATTAAACAACTTCAGATTCAAAGTGCAAAAAGTAGCATCCATGCTAGCTCTGTAAACAAACATGCTGGCTGAATGAGAAGTCACGTCTTTTACTGTGCATGTGTGTCACATCAGTGCTGTGTAGCGTTCACACAGGAGTCTGATGCAGGTCGCATTTAAACTGTAATGTGAACGTTCACACAAAAAGATCTGATTTTTTCAAAAAATCTGAACTGAGCATTAAGACCTGTGAACGTAGCCCTGGTCACATGACCAGTTTAGTGGGAAAGATTCGCTCTTCATAAAAATCTGTCCAAATTGAGTCAAAATTACAGACTTCAGGCTATACATCAAATTTTAAATTGTGTTGATAGATAAATAAATAACAGAACCTTTTTTTTTTAATGTTCGTCATATTTGAAGCAGAGAGAGATTTTTACAGGACACAATTACTGTGGCAGAAAGTCTTGACCCCAGGCTGCACTGGAACTGCTACTACTAGTTGCTGCTATGTGTCACATTGTATGGATTGTCTGTGAATTACATGGATTTTCCACCATTTTGCAGGCAGACTAGCCTGGTAAAAACCAGACCCTTGTCGTTCACTTTGCTTCGTACGAGTGTCTGGACTCTCAGCTATAGAGAAGCAATTCTTGCTGGAGGCGTGGCCTCTGTTGAAGTTTAAAATGATTGGATCGGTTGGCCCCGACATATGTGTGCCAGCTCCACTGTGAAGGAGGCTAAGCTAAGAAGCTAACAGGAAACTGTGTGCGCTGTAAACAACCCTGAGAGGAGAGAAGTACAGAGCTGAACGAGACGGCTGTAAATGAGAGCTGCTGCTTTGTCAGACAAATTTAATTTAATTTGGAAGCCTTATCAACACAGACTGGCTTCATTCACTTCCTCCACTGCTATTGATACTAACTAGCAGACACTGTGCAGAAAATCAACGTCGTTCAAAACTCCACCTTCTGTTCTCTGATTGGCCTGGACGAAATTCTCCCGAAGAAATCCTTGTCTATGGGAGAAATCCCAGACGGAGCAGTGAGGGGTACCTAGAATTGAGCAGAACTGTGTAGGAAGGCAAGGGCCAGGCTACAGGTATACAGATGTATAGAGAAAACCCTGATTTTTTATTTTTCAAAAACTCTCCTTCAGATTTATTTTACGCATCAGAACCTGAAAGGAAATTCAAAGTTTGCCCCTGTCCTCCACCCACAAGATTTTGCTGTAGACATTATTTGCCACGCCCCCAACCCTTGCTCTGTCTCAGACCCCCATCCCGTTGTATCGTGTGACAGTTCTAGGTTTTTTTTTTTTTTTGTTTTGTTAGGTCAGTGTACATGTGAATGAAGGGGATTACATGTATGTGTGCACTTGCAAAAAACCATGATGTCCATTTTCATAATTATGTAATGAGAGTTAGATGAGGTGTAAAGGTTTACAAACAGGTCTAACTTTGAAAATTATATGTTGTAAGATATCGTTAATATAAATTTAGCACAAAAAGTCAGTAAATTAGTGTGTGGTTGATTATTTCTTTATTGTAACAATGCTTCTTGGTAATAAATCTTAAACTGTTGGAAAGTCTGTTAAAGGCACAGTTTGTAGGATTTTGTCAATTCTTTTAGCCGAAATTGAGATGATCACTAATGACAATAATAAAAAAACATGTCTAATCATTGCAGACAAAGACCTTGTTTTATTATTTTTACCTTATAAAAAGCTGTTTATATCTCCATGGTCACGGGTCGCCACACAGGCAGCCGCCATCTTGCACCGCCATCTTGTCTTCGAAGGCTCATGAAGGACAAACTACGGTGGCAGCATCAAAAACGGTTTTAGTTGTAATACTATAAATGTAATATTTGTTGTCTGTCATTGTAGCTGGGATAATTTTACTCATTAAAGCTCATAATCTTACCACTTGAAACATCACTAGCCCTGAAGCTGCTGGTAGACATCGCGGTTGGAATTATCAAAGGTTTTTGACACCTGAGAGACACCGTAGCAACTCATTTGTGTTTGGAAGCGGGGGGAGGAGGGAGGATGATTCATCACTCAACCACTAGATGTCGCTGAAAACAACAAATCCTACACACTGTGCCTTTAATGTCTCTTTTAATTGGTACCACATTTGTGAGGAACATGCATTTGTGGAAAGAGCGGTAGAGCTGATGTGGGTTGTTCACATGAAGAAATTATCAAAACTCTGTCAAACAGTTTATTTGTTATTGACTCTTGTTTGGAGCTCCTGGTGCTGCTGCAAGATGTATTGTTACATCAAATAAATAATCTACCAAACATTAATTTACTGACTTCTTGTTTTAAGTACAGTTTTGGTCAGTTTTAGCTCCTCAGTCCTGTCAGACATAAATTCGATTTCTCCAACTGAAGTCATTCAGTGAGCTACCAGACATGTTCATTCTTTTCCATAAAACTCCACTTCAAAGTAGCTGGAAAGGTTCTCCTCCTCAAAGGCGATCCCAGCTGTAACAACACGTTTGTGGTTTTAGGATGACTTCCCTCTGGCTAGCCTCCCCCTGCTCGGCTACACGGTCAGCACCCCCGACGAGGGCGACGGCATCCACAAGGAGTACGTCTTCAAGCTGCAGTTCAAGTCGCACGTTTACTTCTTCCGAGCGGAGAGCGAGTACACCTTCGAGAGGTTTGTCTCTTTTCTGCAACGTGTTCCGGTGCTTTGATAAACGGCGTCACGTCCCAGCTGACGTCACGTGTGCTGTTCCTGTCGCAACAGGTGGATGGAGGTGATAAAGAGCGCAGCGAGCACCACGGGCCGGATGAGCCTGCTCATACCTAAGGGTGGTCCCGTGGAGATGAACGGAAAGTGAGCAGGGTGTTCTGAACCCGGGGGCTGGGCCTCTGGGGCGTCATCGTATCAATATTAAGTAAAGATTTTGATTTCTAACGAAAGGAGATGGACTGAAACGGCCAGAATAAGTGTTGTTGATTTTTTTTGCTTCTTTCTAATGGTTTGTGCATTATTTTTCAAATAGTGATTTAAATGTTAACGTACGCCTCAGTATAAGGGATATAATGAAAGGGAGACTTGTACATTATAAATTGTTTGCATGTTTTAGAGCTGAGTTTGGTTATTTTGCGTAGACTGAAGGGAAATGGTTAGTGTAATGGGACCAGCCTCCATGCAGAGGGTTTATTTTGATGCCGTTTGAAGAACCGCCTGCATCACGACTGAAGTTTTTGACGGCGCTGCAGATGAAACCGTACGTGAATCGTGAAGGTGCAACCGGTACGTGCTCTGTTCCGTGCTCCTCTTGCCTGGGAGCACGAGCGTGTGACACATGAAGGTGAGCGGGAAGGTAACGAATAAAATGTGAAAAACAAAGTGGAAGACGAAACAAGTTGGGAAGTTCTGTCAGATTTGTGCTGCACTTCTGACTCAGCTGATATTTAAACTGCTGCTTTAAGCAGGATTTTTGTTTTTACTTTAAGGTTTATTTGCAGCCGGGATTTAAAAAATAAATAAAAAAGGAAGGAAGGGGAAAAAAAGCACCTGCTCTGATTAAAACGCCTGATTAGTCGCGGTCAGTTTGGTGCTACATCTGTTTTATCAAATGTAATAAGATTTATTTTGCGTAGAGATAAAAACTCGAGGAAAAACTGCTCAGTTGGTCTCTGTGAACGTTTCGCTCTGAAAAGCTGAAGAACATGTTTTGAAGTGATGTTTTGTTTTAGATAAACTGGAGCTGATTTAATTGCCTGTGCTACATCAACTCCTTATATTTGGTCTGTATTTTCTGTGGAGACTGGAATCTTCTGTGTGTTACTGTGTTCATGTGGAGACGCCATGTTGTCCCTAGCCTCTGCAGGAACCAGGAGGCTGTCTGAGTCCCGCATGTGTTAAAGACTGACTTTGTTGCACAGATAACACGCAGCATGTTAACGTTCTGCCCCTAAAACACCCTGATGTAGACTTCATGTTATTCCTTTGAAAACATAAATAAAACTGAGTTTAAATCTGATTGTTGGTCTGGATTCATCCATGTGAGCGTGATTCTTTACAAAACATAAGTTTTGTTTTTGCCTCGTTTATATGTGGTTACACTGTGTTCTAAGTTATTATGCAAATTATATTTTCTCTGATTTTCCTACATAGTTGATGCAGCATCAGCGGTTGGAGTATAGAATTTAAATTTTATTGAAAAAAAAAACCTCCCAATGACAGTGTTTTTTTCCCCAAATAAAAACTTTAATTCCAAATTATTACATGAGTTTCAAAACATTTTATGCGTCATAAAGAATTGAAAATTGTCATTTGTTGAGTTTTAAGCAGTAGGAATTACATTTACTGAAATCAAAAGATTTTTCAATCAAAGTCGTCTGAACAGGTCAGGTTACATTTTAACACAGGATCCACTGAAATGGTGAGTTTTTGGAGAGATTTTGCCTCCCAGAGCTGCTGTCTGAACTCCCACCATCAGAGATCTTTGGCTTGAGGCTCCAACGGTCCTCAGGGTTGAGGATGGAGGCCACACCATGAGTTTCTCTCCTTTTTATGCCTATAGCAGCCGATGATGCAGAGGCGTGCCTTAGGCTACATCATGAAAGGATTTGTAATGATGTCCTGATGCATCTCAGTAATCCAGGTAAAAAATCAAAAAGAAAAAAATTGTATAGGTCTTCTGGACGGGTTCTTCTCTAATGAAACGTTTCGTCTCTCCTCCAAGAGACTTCTTCAGTCTGAGAGTTTCATGTTTCATGACATGTTAATGTTGTTCGCGTCGTATCCGTCAGTCTACACCAAACCACGCCCACATACACTCACACTGGAGGCACGTTTTTGTACGTCCACCCTAAATGGCTTTGGGCTGATCCTGGGCTGAACAGAATTAGCC